TTCTTCAAGTATAAAATAAGGCACGCACAAGCAGAAAGAAAAATATTAAGGGAACGACGTCCCACGCGAAAAACTTCTCAAATTAAAGAGAGCGAGCTATTTGCGACCATGGACTGTACCGCCAGGAATGGCAAGAGAGGATTCGTCTTGGTGCTTGTTTTGTCTGCGGGAGGTTGGCTCTCGAGTCTTGTTAAAGGGGAGAGAGAGAGAGAGAGGGAGAGAGTGAGAGAGGAGGTGAGGAGGGAGAGCGAGAGAGTCAGGAAGTGTTGGTGCTTCAGTGAATGCACTAGAGGGAGAAGTGTACTTGTAGTTGAAGTCAGAGTCAGAGTCGAAGTCAGTATGAAATCGAGGTCACGGTTGCAGACTGGTTACGCAACGCGAATCGACCGCCACGACGATAAAGCGCAGCGCCATATACTCTATGGAATATGGTGTGTTCTTATGAAGTTGCCCTTAGAGACAACCATGAACAGAGTATCCTTGGCGAATTTTTTAGTTGGATTTTTTTTTTTGTTGGAAATTGGAAATTGGAACATCTGGATTTTCGGTATAGGTCCAATTCGACTTGCGTTATCTCATGTAAAATTCATTTTGTTGCCACTTTTTGCAAAGATATAAAATTTCATCGACTTTCATATATTCTGTTCCAGATTATATCACTGTGTCAAGTACCGCAGTGGCTACTGCAGTTATTCCATACTCGATGCACCGGTGCATGGTGCATAGTTGAAACGTCACACTGACACAAGAAGCATTTAAGTTAATGAGAATTCCACTGTGCGTTGAGGTGTTTAAAATATTCTCATTGGAATTTTATCTCGTCTCGGTTAGGAATTCCGTGTAGCCAGCACGATTTATTCGCACGAGAAAGCCGATTAAGATTCTGACTTCTATGTCATTGGATATTTTTATTTTTATAGAACGAGTACGAATTTTTTGGTTAATCCTGGAATTCCCATCTCTGTGTGTCTATATGTGGTATATGTTATGTCTGTATTATAGAAAAGTATCTACGAGCCATTCCATACTCATTTCACTGTATCCGTGAAACTTATCGCGTGCTTTGCTCTTCCCCGTGACAGTGCGAGATTTAAAGCACGAACAAAGCCGCTTTTGACGAAGCTCCGTTCGGCACGTTCGAGGATTTCCTGGCCTCCTGCTGTTATCCAGAGGACGATTAAGTCCCTGAAGACCCTGACTGGAATTCCTCCTGAGGCCATCATCCAATCTCGCCTCGTAATCATTACCATTTCTAGCCTCCCCTCTCACCCGAGGTTCTTCCTCGCTTAAGGATATCCCGCTTTATGCATTCGCAGCTCGAATGACTGTGCGAATTATTTGGCCTTGAAAGACCAAGAAAATTCCAATTTTTTTTATTCGAAAGAATGATAAGAAAAACATTTTTAATTAATAAAATCATTTTAATCCCCTTTCATTATTTTTTATCTTCAATCAGCATATTACTCTGCCCAATTATCCTAAATGGAAAATGACTCGCTCCCTAAAAATTTGCACTTTCAATAAACAGCCAGAGCTATGCAGTCGCACGATGCGCGTGCCAATGCAGTTCTCCTTTATCGCTCCGATATATTTCGATTGTTTGGAAAAGGAAAAGAGACGAGTTCTTTATACTAATATACGTTCCGCCGTCTTTACTATTCCATGATTCCTTTCGTACGTCAGACCGATTTCTGGCGAGTTTTAAATTCCGCGAGTACACGCCGGAAATGAGGAAAGTTTGTAATAGCAGTGAAGCCAGTGCGAATGGAAAGTACAAGTGCGCATGCGCCGATGCATTACACGAATACGATATTATATACGTAACGCAGCGTAACCATATTGAATTGTACATTGATATTAAATGGTCGAACGTTAACGATCATTTCTAGTCATTTGCACAGAGAAACTGCTTGATTGCCTCGTGAAAATATCGTCAAAATTTTATTGTACATTGACTTTAGTGACTATGCAATTTTGCATGCATCTATAACAATAATAATTCCAGTGCACTTAGGCATACGTGCCAGTGCGTAGGTACGTGAACTGGTAATAATTTCAAACCGGGCAGCTCGTGTGTCAGATGCAATCAGCCCAACGTGTATTTATTTATACTTTTTTAATACATCTCATGCGTTACTAATTACCCCTGATTGCGATAAAGTATCAAGATACACGTATAAGAATGCTCGCGCCATTACCATGTTTTTCTCTCTCGGACCTCTCCATAAACCAAGAGCATTACAATATGGAGTACACATGTTTACAGTTACGGGATAAATCTCACATGATACCAAGGCCAAGTCGAGATACCACGGTATCATGTATCCACGCCATCAAAAAATTAGCAGATGCAATTTAAAAAAAATTGAATTTTCAAATCTTGAGTTTTTCCCCCGTGCTACCCCATATCGATTAATCTCATCTCTCGTCACTGGGAGTCATTAAAATTTTCTCAGATCATTTTTACTTGTCTGTCTTAACGCAGCATCCCGTGGCACTTCGTGTCATTTCACTCGACAGTATTGGTCCAGAGATGCTTCGTTTCACAAGACAAGATTTAAATGATAGCATCGACACACTAATGGACCTTGAAATTGATGTTCTTGGATGCTGCGTGATGTCCGCTAACGCACTGCAACTTCGCGTAAGACACGCACCGTATCTCTACACGCAATGCACTTCCATGGATATGCAAGCAGATAAATATACAGTTATACCATACGTATTTACGGTGGATGCACAGGTGCTCCAACATACTCAGAGCAAAGAAGGCGTTAAAGGTACATGAAAAGTAGTCGGATGCTGTTGCGTCTCTCACTTTAATTACTTTAATTTGCAGGTGCAAAGTAAAAGAGCTTTAAGTTTTCGTTGGGTCACTTTGATTTACAAGGTGCGAGAATGCCGGCGCGTTTGTCCCGAGGAGTGGCCGTATATGGGACTATCAGTGAGAGTGAGCGAGAGGGAGGTAAGTAGAAGATCTTTTGACGCTTTAGAAAAGAGGAATAAAAAATAAAGACAGGAAGTAAAGAAAGAAAGAAAGAAAGAAAGAAAGAAAACAATTAGAGGCTCGTATATACGTCGGCTCGATGTAATCCGGTACTGTGTGAGCAGTTTCATTATGTTTCCTCTTCTTCTTTTTTTTTGTCATTCTCTTCCCTTTTCTATTTTATTGGAGACACAATATGTGCTGCGCCGAGTATTAAGCTCCGAAAGCACACAGATCGAACACGATCCTACGGTAGACAACGCCCAGGGCTTTGATGGGTCTGTTCGGTACCCGGCCGGTTGTGCTGGAGTTGTATGGGGGTTGCACGGGGGGTGGGTAATGGCGACTCCTATCAGCTCTGTACACTCCGAGGGCGGCAACCAGGACCAGAGCTGGCGATATTCTGATGAGTTACGCTGATAGTACCTGCATGCACCCTTGGATACCACTTTGAATATTGGATAGTTGTTGAACTTGCAATTTAGTATCGTCTTCAATGAATATTATGCCTGCCTGCCCACCGCTTCGATGGGCATTAGGGACTTAAGTTGCTACCAAACGAGTTTTGGCATCGAGTTCCATATAGATATACAAGGGTATTGAAAATTCGATCAGCTGGGCTTAAAGAGATTTCCATCGAGTAACGACATAGATATTTTTAATTCAACGTATAGTCGACTTGACTATTGCCATATGGTTAAGGCTTTGGATTAAAATAACGCTAGGAGTCATCGTCCGGTATCTTCTTTTACTTGGTACGGGACATACATAAATTTTAAGTTAAAGGGATACGTAATTATTTATTATTTATACGGCACGCGTGTAAAAAGCGCGAACATGAAGGACCAGTGTAAGTATACCCTTGCGTAATTATTTATGACTCCGATGGTAATGTGTACGTTCTCTTGACACCTGCGTGCAGACTGCCCACCCTGATCCTTATCGTATTTGCTCGTTTTATCGATTTCACTCGCCGGTTAATACGCATCGTTCGATCGATTAATTCGCCGATATAAATAAGATATGATTGTTCTGTTTGATCCTTTTTCTGAAATTCCAAAATGTTTTAATGACGCAGTGATAAATAAAAATAATTTTGCAAAATAGTGGAATCGTTGTTTCATAGCTATATCGGATTCCATCGTATCGCCATTAACTACATCCCTTAAGTTTCAACCCCCCGTCGTCCCGGCATTCAGCGTTTCTATGAAACGACGATTCCAGCAGGGTGCAGGAGGCCTTAGCAATGTTAATTGCGCGCTAAGATTTAAGGACCACTAAATAAAGCTCGCCAGTGTGCGACTCCCGGGAGTACTGTGTGTAGCCACCCTAATGGTCAGCATCCAGAGAAGCCCAAGTTACTTTTGCGGCCTCTCGTGTCAACTTAATTCACTGTACGTTCTGACTCTCTCCTTTTCCATTCGTTCCATAGAGACTGCCCGAGTGAACGCTCTCCAGCATCCACTGATATTTTCCTCGTATTTCTATTCGCCTTAATTGCCAATAATCTTGGCAGGGACAAGCCTCTAGTTTTCCTATTACAACGTTCAAGGTGGTGGTGGCTGCGTTTTATGGGATTCTGATTGCAGGCCATACGAGATATACATTCTTGACATACTGTTATACATAGTCTTTCAGACTATCTAATCTTACTGCTTCCCATATGCAAATTAGCGCACCAGTGAAAGGAGTCCTGATTAAATACTACGTTTCAATTAATCATTCGCATATGCACTACCTGAAATAATTAATTGTGTCTGACGTAACTAAATTCATGGATTGCATTATATTAAAATTTGAGAATATTATTTTTAGAAATCATTTCACTCATTGATTAATGAAAATAAAAATGCACTGACAGGTACACAGAGAATAATCATTGTTCTTTCAACGTTATATGCATCTAAAAAGACTACCTTTATCGATTTCCTTATCAGATAACAAAATAAGCGTCATGGATCGTAACAACGCATTATATGTATATGATGCATGTAAAACTGGAATGAAGGGAGGAAACATTTTTGTCTACTGTCAAGTGCACCTTGTATTATTACGTGATAGGACATCGTTGAGATCAAATTATAATTAACAGGTGGATGATAAGGCAGCGAGATAAAACCTAACCGAGCCGAATAAATCGGCTGGATGACGAACACTTTATTCACTAGGTTATCTTTGTTGGACTTGTGAAGACAGTAGTGATTACATTTATCGGTGTTCATAGTGTTAAAATGAATTCTAAACTCATTTTCTTGGCTCTCTGCACTTTGCTTTATCACTCCGCGTGCGCACAAGGTAAGTCTAATATATTTTAATAATTTTTTTTAATGACCTTCCTCACTTCCATAACTCCGCATCATACTTTAAGACGCACCAACGGCGGACATATACATTTACGACAGTGCGCATGCTCGTTCTTATCACATAGATAACACGTGGGAGGAGGGAAGACTAGAGAATGATTTTCAAGTACACGTCAGATTACATTCGTGTGCTTCTTGGAATAGATATAAATTGTTTCGTTTTGTAGAATTCCAGGAAAGAATTCCAAAATTGAGTTTAAGCAGTGACGCCGAATTTGGGCTACATGGTCGAATAGTGAATGGTACGAAAGCGATACGGGGTCAGTTTCCACATCAGGTAAAACGATCATCACGTGCTGTCTGATGAATCATAACTGTATGATCATAAAAAAAAAAAATTATTTTTAGGTATCATTGAGAAGACGTTTTTCGGACAGTCATTTTTGTGGTGGTAGCGTAATTACGGAATCGTGGATAATAACGGCAGCTCACTGTCTTTACTTGTTGGTATCAGATCATCAATGAGCCAAGTGAACAGTAAGCAACGGAGATTTTAATAATTTTAGAAACGGAATGCCAATTGAAGCATGGACCATACTAGTGGTCGGTGGAGAATTATTGCTAAACACTACAACATCCACTGGACAAAGAAGCGGAGTGACTACTATGATGATTCATCAGAATTTCGACAATTCCACCCTGGAGAATGATGTTGCTCTCTTAAAGGTACATTCTTTATTCCAAGCAGCCATTGTTTACCCTAGACTCGAACGTTATACTTGCAGCTAGAAACACCTTTTGTCTTCAACACGACAGCCCTGAAGCCCAGGCCGTTGCAGACGAGTTCAGTGTCTCCTGGTACTATGTGCCAGGTCGCAGGATGGGGTTATCCCGCCTTCGTGAGTAGTTCAAATCTCAGGAGGAATTATTTTGCGATTCGCAATCGATCATCAACTTCCTATTCCTTTTACCTAGGACATTAGCGTAGTCAGTAACGAATTGTTGTACGTGAACCTGCCTCTACTTCATCAGACTCTTTGTCGGCAACTTTTGAAAAATTATTCAGACGTCCCTGACGGGATGCTCTGTGCTGGGTATTTGGAAGGTGGAAAGGATGCCTGTAAGGTAATTATTAAATTTTACCATAACAAAGATACGTAAGCTTCTGATTGATTATTTAATTCATATATTTATTATGTAGGGTGATTCTGGTGGGGGCATGATTTGTAACAATGTTTTGACTGGAATCGTGTCTGGTGGTATCGGATGTGCTTGGCCAAAGACTCCTGGCATTTATACGGACGTGAAATTCTACAGGAGTTGGATTTCTGAAATGATGAAAAATTCGACGGAAAATGACAACAAGAATGTGACAATTGTTGTTTCGTCAACATCGAACTCAGCTAGGCCAGGAGATGAAGCGTCTGGTGCAATCCCAACGATGTGGGCATTCTTCTTACTGCTCAGTACACTCGTTCTTTTATTAAATGACACAGACTTACATTTAGAATAACAATCAATTAATTCCGACAAAGTTCGGATTTGACCATTTTCATACGTAGTTCTCTTTCTCGCTGTACATTAATAACAAAAGTACATATGTATATGTATATACTAGTTCATAGATTTAGTGTAGAACACCTTTTTTTTTAATACGAACGACAAAAGACTATTCAAAAATAACAAGTATCCAAATTTCACGTTAGAAATCCGACCGTGACATCGAAATCTACACATGACTTTTTCGCGATCAGATAAGAATAATCAGTGTCGCAATTCAGGTAATAAAAATATGTTTGTAAATAAATAATTAAAAAGTATCCAGTTCACAAATATAAATAGATCATCGCTTTATAAATTCTTTACTTAGTCATATAGTCAGCATGTACTTATAAGTGAATCACTCCTGATTCATCCTTCCTGTATAATTTTGATTACTCAAGCAAGCCCGGGTTATCTCCAGTTTCCGCGGTGTAATACGTTCGAGATACGTAGAATTTCTCTCCCTCGTGGACACTGGTAACTAGGTCCATCCAGTGGATGCTGGAATCTCCATATACATATAAAGCAACGGCGATACCTTTAGGCGAATATAGCAAATAAAGATATCCGCCTCCCCCCCCCCCCTCCTCGTGTGCCATTCCTAATTGAGCAGGACAGCAAAGTTCATAAAGATCGTCCCCACTGATATTTTCGTGACATAGCTACAAATTACGTTGGGCATCCAGTTGGAATTTACGAGTACGGAGATATTTCCTTGCCAGGGTAAAAACGAATCGCGACTTCGTATAGCGAATCTCGTGATACAGTCGAGAAAGGGACTGGGCGAGGAGAGGAGGGAGCCACGAATCCCAGGAGGGACAACCTTCGAAAATATGTATAATGCATAACGTATCACGTTGTGAGATTGGTAATGTGGTACGGAACACTTAATTTTCTCATTTGAGTGTACACAATCGATCTGTTTGTTATTAGGGTACAGTCACCTAATAGGAAACACGTCTGAGTTAGGTATGCATTTAGCTACTAGACTGTACGGAGGGACACACCTTCAATGGCTAGGACTATATGTTCTTGTGCAAGCAATTCGGCACCCACTGCCAACAAGTTACAAGTTACACATAAAGCTCCATACACACGGTTAACACATCGTGCTTTCGCAGCCCCCTGATATATTGGTACTGCTAAATAATACATGCCCCCCCCCCCCCTCCGCCTTTACCTTGGCACTCGGCTTCTCCATGCTGGATGCTCAACAAGGCAAAATACTCGCTGCCAGACTCGGGAATGGGGGTTGTTCTTATTGTACGTATTGCTTAATCCGTATTTCGAAAGCATCTGAGAAGAATGAATTAAGCTACTGGATTCAATATGGGTTGGGACTGATTAGGTATGATTTTATGGTAAATATTGGAAATTGACTAGTGCTGGATTTTAGGTCTGGATCTGATGCGGATGCTGGGTGATAACGTGGAGAGTGTTGGCGGTTGGATTACACGCTGGATTCATTAATATTCCTATGCCTCTCTGGGAATAGGTGGGGGATGGCTGTTATGGTGTTGGGTCGTTCCGAGTATAGGAAGAGACTTTAAGAGGGGTGCAAGAGAGAGGGCGAGAGAGAGAGAGAGAGAGAGGG